GAGGATCACCAAGTAAGGGACAAAAAAGGAGCTCGATGACAGTTAATCAGATGTAGTATTTACCGACGGCAAGAAGTCACCGAAAGGTTTGAGTTAAATTCCACAGGAGGTGTTAAAAGGGGAGGAAGAAAAGGAGGAAGCGGAAGGAAGAATGGGAAGAAAGTAAGAAGAGGAGGAGGAGAAGGAGGAGGAGCAGGAGCACAGGATGATCCTTTTCCGGGATGAAAACCATTTATCAGAATCACCTGCTCTCGCTCAGATCAACTTCAGTCCCAGGCCCAGTTTCAGTCCACTTCTCCTCCTCCTTCAGGAATCTCGTCATACACTCAACTCAAAGCTAGATAGATAAAGAACGAGCTAATAACTCATAGTCATACCCTTAAGACTGTCATGGCTTGACCGTGGCGGCACTACACTGTCCACTATCATCCCCGACTGAGACAGGTGCCCTCTTTTGACACTCCCAAGAAGTCGAAAATAGTGATGATGATGATGATGCTATTTGTTGCTGATACCCAATCTCACCTCCTCTCGTCTGACGGCTAGAACGGTCTTCCAACCCTCAAAGAGAAAACCTAGAACTCACCGAGAGTGCCCAGATGGCGAATGCATTGCACTTACTGACTATAACTGGCCTCAGATAACCCCTCCAAACACACTATTATTCTTCCAATAGCAATAATCCAGCGTTAGCCCTTGGCAAACTCCTCATTAACTACAGTCAAGCTCCATCCTTCGTTATCATCGTCACTCTTGATTTCCCGGAGGCCGAGAAACACAATTACCGCGGATAACGCTGGACGACCGGAAGCACAAGTGAAAGTCTCTCTTTCTCTTACGAACCCAAGCGTATGCCGAACGAACTCCGCTAGCGCTGCGTCTAGAAATTTCGCCAGCACGGTGGATGTTCCCGCTGGATTATTCCCTCGTACAGTAGTGGGAAATTTAGAGTCCTCGGGAGACCCGACCAGAGCCGACAAATTAATTCTTCATCTCCTCCCCTGCCAAGCGCGCGTTGTGGGACGTTTTCCGTTCTTCAGGGACACCGTCCGATCATAGTCCCGCCGCTTAAGTGGGTAGCAGCAGGCCTAACCGCCTAAGAGGTTTAGAGGCTAGGGGGGTTGGTGGAGGAACAAAGAGGGAGAGGGGGTCGCACAATGAGATGGGGACTGCAGGAAGAATCGAAGAAGACGCGAATCCCTTCGGAACATGAAAGGTCCAGAATAAGCAGACGATCACTCGCCACCACAACAAGGCGAACGTATCATTCCTAAACCCCGAAAAGCGATCGCGACACGGCCAGACGGGAGCAGCGCGAAGGCAAGTGTGTGATCACCTACAGGGAATAATCAAATGATCTGCGTCTCATATTACGAGTCAGGGCTGGTGGGGAATCGTTCCAAGATCATTAATATTATTGTGCGTCGCGCAGTTAGTGTTTCTTTTCCTGCGCATAGCTACGGCATCTGACTTCCAGCAACGCACTCTGGCGGATTGAGAAAGGCCAAAGCCCAAGCCGCTCACTGTCACCTCCAGACTCCAGAGAAGCATCTAAGCAACTACTCTCCTTCCACCATTTATTGCCGGCGATTATTCCCGACGGTGACAAGCCCGATGGTGAAAAGGTAAAAGCGGACGCTATTGACTTTGATTCCAAGTTTTACGGATAACAGGTGGTCTAGTCGGCGCGCGATTCCAAATGCGCTTCGTGCTTTCGTCTGCTAATGGATCTTTCTTCTCGACGGGGTTAACATGGCTCGCCCCATATCCTACCGAATTAAGACAGCCAAGCTCTACGGTAATGCTGGCCTATTTCGTTTCTAGCATGGCATCTGTTACAACGCCGCCAATAATGATGCTGAAGATGATGCGAATGGTTCTACATGTCATTGCCGACAATGCAGTCGGTGTACACTGTCCACGTAAACCCCCAATCCTTCAGAAAGGATCGGAGATGCCTCGGCATTTGCAAATACTTACTTATTTAGTCAAAAAAGAACTTAAGGAAGGGAGGGAATTGACGTCAAAAGCCTGCCGTTAATTCTCCGACCTTTTCCTTTTTCCTTTTTCCCCAGGCGATGTGCTTCGCTGTACCATGGACCGTGGCCGATCGTCAGCCTGTGGTTCGTGCTGGACTTAGCTATCCTACACTACTGCCGTGCACTTCATGCAACTAGAGAAGTAGCTGGAACTTTATACACAGTAAGAAATTGAAACTGGTCACCACACCATCCTTACGCTCTGCACATTGTTGCCTACCCGCTTCCAGACTAAACCCTCTTTTCTTGCCACTAATCTATCCGTACTACTATGCCCTCTAAAAGGACAATAACATGTGACAAACAATGTGCTACCGGAAAATTCATCCCCACCAATACCACGAAACACCCGGTGACACTGAAATCAGTACGTATAACTCTGGGTTAAGTTATACTCAGTAGTAGTGGTGGGATCAAATCATACCAAGTTCGCAATTGTACCCACGACGGGTGGGAAAAGGTATCTATCTTTGCCTAGAGCCTGTACTGCAAGGCGGTTTATCATTTCTACTTTCGAGTAGTAGTTGCCACTGTCAATCCATATACGGGGTTTGATATTATCTGTATACGGGATTTGGATCGGCCTCTTAACTCAGGTTCTAGATTCAAGGTCTACATGACGGGGACTGTAAAGTTTATCAAAGCCTAGCCTAGCTCTAGCATACTGTGAATACAAGAACTTTCCTCAACTATGTCCAACTGTAAACAATGGCCCTATCCAGCCAGAAGACATGCAAACCAACCCAACCACAGTATGTAAGAAAGGTAGATAGAAAGATACCAACCGAAGAAGACAGTACAATCAGTACAATCAGGAAGTCCCCACATGAAGCATCACTCTAATCTTGAAGACCGCTCCGGAGGAAGAAGCTTCATCCTGTGCATCCGCTTCAGCCTGCCAAACATTATCCAATTCCTGCAACATAATGAGCAGATCCTCATTACATTCGCGACGCACACGAATCTCAAAGTCCGACCAGTCAAACCTGACCGACGCAGCGAAAACCTGAGGCGACATGGAATCCCATTTCAACTGCGCTGAGGGGCTCCACTCCATCACGTTGCACTGTTCCGCCATGTGCTCCAGGAAGTCCGTGGCCTGGGCAGCGAAATCCGTGAATGGAAGCCACACGGGAGCCATTCCTACTTGGTTGCTTGCTGTGACGAGAAACTTGGTGTCTTTTGCATACTCAGACGTAGTCATATTGATCTGGTTGTTGTTTTCTGTAATAGGGGATTTGGTGTTCTTCGCCTGGGGATACTGGGGAGCAGCGTCAGTCATGCCAGCGTGGTTGCTGTTGCTCTCTGTGGTGAGGGACTTGGGGTCCTTTGTGTACTGGGGAGCAGCACGGTGTACGAATGTTCCCTGGACTGGAGCAGATATACTCTCTTTCCCTTTGGGGGTTTTCAATTGGACCTCTGGGGTTTCCTTGTAGCGGTTAGCTAGAGAAGTGCGCTGTTTCTTGGACTTCTTCGCTGTATTGTTTGGGATTTCAGCCTCGGGCTCAGAGTCAGAGACGATTGCCTTGAACGGCCGAATGGTGCTTGGGGTACTGCGGGTCCGCGCCTTGTAAACAGGCTTGTCGGTGTCGTCCTCGTCCGTCTCCTTGACAGTAGATTTTCTCTTTTTGGTACTAGCCGTTTCGAAGGGTGCTTTGGCCGGTTGTGTTGGCTGAACGTTCCATTAAACGTGTTAATACAGGGTTGAATATGAACAGAAAACGAAGTGCATACCTTTGCCTTCTCTTGACTTAGTCTGGAATAGTTCTTCGCCTTCCTAAGTAGCAGAATAGCAATGGTTCGAGCGATCCTATACAATAATCAGTACAGTCAAGTCATTCGGGAGCAATGCATGTCAAAGTAAGATAGAGAGAAAGAAGGAACGAAGAACGGATGGAAGGTAAACAAAGAAGAAGTGAAAAACTTACTCCTCACTCTGAGCCGGATAAGTGCAAAGCGTCTTCTCATCCGCAAGGGATTCTTCCTGTAGATACTTCTTTCTGTTCGCTGGAGTTCCCCAGTACTTCAGACCGTACTCTTCGACGAAACTCTTAGCGCAGTTGTGTCGTTCGTCCTCAGCGTTGAGAATATCGGTCCATTCCCATTCGCTCTGCTCTACATGATCCTTCACCAAACCAAGGAACTCACGGCCATACTCTTCCTTGAGGTCCAGGAAATGAACGAACTGTTTGTCTCTCCAGGATGCCTTGACCTCACCACGGTCTAGAAGTTCTTTCATAGTTTCAGTTCCACTGACGGAGGAGGTTGGACTTGAGGCAGAAGACATTATGATGTTGGTACTTGGGTCTGGGGTACGGTCCCGGTGGGAGTACTTGAAGGGGTTGGTTGGGAGAGAACGAAACATGAGGTGTCAGTGTGTATGCTGGAGGTAGGGGTAGAGGGAAGAAAGACGCGGGGAGGATAGGATGGGGGAGAAAAGGTAGGGAAGAAGAGGCGAGCTCTTGCCATGCTTATATAGTATCTGGTGTTGAGGGGCGAAGTGAATGTGAGTGAAAATTCGTCGCTATAGCGATGTGAGGGGTTTGGTGCTTGTTGGGAAGCAGAGGTGAGAGTGAGAGGTATTTGATTGGAGAACGCAGTAAACATAGAAGAAATCAGTGCTTAGAGGGCTTACAACGTGATCGTGTGCACGTTGCAGAACAAGCACGATCTTTGTCAATCATGCTGCAGATAGGCGTGTTTGGCAATTAAGCCATGTTGGACTAGACTCTGAACTGATTATCAACCTCGGCTAGGAGGACGTAGGCTTATGGGCCATGTTGATAGACGCTGAAGACGCTGAAGACATTGGGTAGAAGACATAGTGAAACAACAGGCAAGTAGAAAGCAGGAGGTACTAGTTGAAGAAAGAAGATGCAATATTTTAGAAGAGGAACTACTTCGAAAGGATAGGAACTGATACGTCAACATTACTGTACACTATCAGGTTTGAAGTAGCATGAGTTCTTGTCATAAGATGGTCTTGATATTCATAGCTCAGTCAGGTTGGATGTTTTTCTATGCTTCTCAGCTTGCAAATACGTCAATCCCAGGCACACGTCCCACATCATTTCATTCCGCGCCGAGATAGCGAAGTGAGTTCTTTAGCTCTTTGATCGCTGTGTTAACATCGTCAAATGTCAGGGCTGACACGGCCCAGCGGGCATGCTTCTGAGCAAGAGCTATGGCTTGGTCATCAAGTGACTGAGGGTTCACTCCACTGGAACTAGAAGCGGCGGGTGCAGGTGGAGGTGGTGTAGATGACGGGAAACTTTGAGGAGTAGGACTAGAGACTACAGGCACTGTTGCAGAGGATGATTGTACAAACGGTGGAGGCGGAGCGACGCTGCTTGTCGGTTTGGTGTAGAACGAGCTTGCGTCGTGAGAAGCTGCCGACGGGCTCGAAGGCGGGATGGAGGACGGTGGAGGGAAGGAGTGGAACGAGTCAGCACGAGCTTGCGGAGGCTTTGCACCAATATCCGCGGGTGTATCTGGATTGTTGGGTACTGAGGGAGCAGCAGGTGAAGTGAAAGTCTCTGGAGCAGAGGGGAGATTCAGCGGTGCGCCTGGCTCCGCATCGCCCTCCTCGTTCGAAGTAGACATCGGGTCCGCTCCGGAGTGAGCAGCCGGAACATCGGCAAACGTGGTCGGAGGTTGCGGGAGACTGAGAGGTGATTGTGAAGGTTGCATAGACTCATCAGGGACCTCTTCAACAGAAGGCTGCCCAGGTTGTGCGGCTGACGATCCCACGATGGCCTGCACTTCGGGATCGTCCTGCTTGGCCTCCATTCCCCTAAGTTCACTTTCGAGTTCATCTTCCTCAGTAGGCGCCGGGTTGGACGCATTAGGATCCTCTCCCGCCTTGATAGCCTTTATGATCCTCACCGCATGGTACTTGCAGAACTTGATCTTCGCGGCGATCTCAGGTTCCGGAGGGTTGGTCCAAATTTGACACAATTCGAGGAACGTAGCAGCAGCTTGGAACGTATCGGCCGTCTGTCTAATACCGGGTCAGTCTTGGTGCGGGTATTAATTCACGAAAACAACCCACTTGGTCACTTTATTGGCTTTCATTGTCGCCTCCGCACGGCCAAGGATCTCCAATCCGAACTGCTCCACGTAGGCATTGGCAGCCACCGCATCGGTTACCGCATCATTATCGACATTTTCACTCTTGAACTGAATTCAGACGGGATATGTGTAAGTCTTTGGGAAGTGCGCGCCATCGTAGCGGGGGTGTCCTGCGCCCGACGTACCTGCTCCAACTTGTCCACCAGGTCCGTTGTGTATAGCTTGACATCGTCGTCGGAAGTGTGTAGTCCCCGTCCGATGATCTGATTAACAATCCAGAAGTTACCTGTAATCGAGAAGCGAACATTAGTCAGTTTATGTGGCCTTCCATTTGAGCAGCAACATGCGCGATCAACGGCACTTACACCAGTAGGCAACAACGGGCTTCGCGCGTTCGAGCTGAGCCGCCCGCAACGCGTACCGCCCAATGTCGGCGGATCTCAAACTAGCGGGGATATTGCTCGCCATGGGGTTGGGTGGGACGCTGACGTCCAGGAGGTCAGAGCTGCAACGGTCAGGATGCAGGAGGAAGATGCACGATGCAGGGCGGGGATGACGTTGGAGGTGGAACTGCGCCAAGCTGGTCTCGGGTCGGCCTAGCGTTCCTGACTTTGGCCTCGGCCCATAGTTGTACTATATACTACATTGTTTACCACAACATGTAAATCAAAGATTACCTCAACCACATAGATCATGTTATTTTCCTGGTCAGAGTATGTAGCCAATTGTCAAAGCTAGATATTGCAAGACTTCACGCCGTTTCCCACGCCGGTTAACCCATGCCAGTCCTGCAAAGAACCCTCCGCCAAAGTTAAGAGAACTATCAATCAATCATGCATCCTCAACGATCCATTCGCCGATATCCACCCGCTCCTCGGCCAAAGCTTCGACTTCAAAGTGGTCCTCAACTTGTCCCCCAGGTCCTCCAATTCTCTCAATGACTATCCAGGCTCCACCCTGATCTGCGAGACCCGGATGCAGATCGAAGTCCTCAATTCGTACTCCAGATATCGCATCACTATGGTTCCCATCTTCAGAAGTAGCCAGTATCTCCTTGTACGGCCCTTGACCAAGCTCTACTGTCATCAACATTGGAGACGGGCCAACGGCGCGATTTCCGATCGTAGACATTCTGCTCCGTCCTATCAGCTTAATGCGGGTCAAGCGATTGGTCTCCAAGGATGCCAGCATCCGATCTTTCCCAGGAGTCAAGACCCCGATATCAGATATGACTGCTCGTCGCCCTGCTGCCTCTGGTGCAAGCGGCTTCACGTCGCACGGTAATGCCGACGAAATCCAGAGTGTGAACCGCCCAAGTTGGTCCGGGGCGAAGGTTGAGCAGACGAGCGTGTAGACTCCTTCGCCGAGTCTCTTCTTTTCCGCAAGAGACCCGCCACGCCGGTAATCACCGCTATCGGTTATGATTTCGCGGTTCCGAACCCTAGTCACACGCTGTCCATTGGACCAGAACAACTTGACATGCGTAGCGAGCTCCGGCTCCGATGGTTCCAGCAGAATTGATATATCTGTATCGTCATGAACCTCGAGTCGGAACTGAGGATTAAACGGGTAGCGGGCAGATTCGGCGTTTCCTCCTGCCGTGGAAGGCATCCACATTCCTTGAGTTTTTGTCAGGCAAGCGTATCGGTTCTGGGCAGGCGCCAAGAGCAAGGGATTGTCGGACAGAGCCGACAATGTGAAGTTCTGGCTGACAGCGGGTAATGACTGCTCAGAAACCGCGACAGTGTAGGTCGTGCCTGGAGGCATTTCCAGTCTCATGAGAGTATTTGGCGAGTCAACGTATGGACCGCGGTGAAGGGCTCCTTCACTTAATGCCACTCGTTTTCCATTTGCGTTGAACACGTAGATGCTAATGAATCCTGGTTCCAGATCGTCTTGGGGCACTTGATTCTGCTCATCATGATGAATCGACCTGAAGTGCTTCCCAAGCAGTAGCCAGACATTACCGCCAATCTCAGAGGTAATAGCAAACTGGGGGTTTTTCGCGAAGCAGCCAGCCACCCCTCTGGCAGTCGAAAGGTCCCATGTAAAGTGAATATCTTCCCGATAGCGAAAGATTCCCGGATTCCAGTTCAAATACAGATTCTCAAAGTTTTGTAGGACACTCTCACAATCCATCCAGTAGGTCCTTGGTAAGGAGGACGCAGGGGTGTGAGATGTACGTCCAAGTCCGAAACCGTCTGCGATATCTCCGGTGGTGGCATCGTCACCTGCCCATGGGTTCTTTACAAGCATTTGGCGACGATCTCTCTGCTCTCTCATATCCAAGATAGCGTAGTCATGTTCGCTCGCTAAGCCTAGTTCTTTCTGCTCCCTCTCGGTTAATTTGCCCGTACCTATCGTCAGTAGGACATCGCCATGCCGGAAGCGCTTGAATAGCCGCCTCCAGAGTTGCTCTGCAGTTACATCATCTTGATGGAGGAAGACCTGCTCAGGAATCCAGCCTGTCAAGACCCACAAATCTGTACCAGAATTGCTCCCAGGAAAGTCATAGCCCCCTCGAAGCTTCAGATACGCCTTTTCTACAAAGGCCGGCCACAGAAAGTTAGGATTATTTCGATCAACAACATGAAGTGATCTTGTTGTTTTTGACGCCGGCAAGCGATCATCAATGACAACTTTTCTGAAACATCCATTGAAATAAAAGCGGAATATGTATTTTCCTGAAGGGGAAATTATTGGATTTACCTGCCCGTATTCGCAGGGGAAAACGATGGGAAGATGGTGCTGTAATTGTTAGGAGCATGTTCCTTGCAGGAATGTCATGTTGAAGAACATCATACCTTGTCTAGACCACGCTCCGACCTTGATGTAGCAGCACAGAGACTGGCAACGACGGAGCAGTCGGTCAACATATCTTGGACGAGATCTGTAGTGCCTAAAACCGACATCACAGGCATTCTTGATTTCAGGCCATGTATGCCGTTTGCATGCTTAGACAACAGCTCAGAGGGACGCTCCCAGCCTGCCAGAATGCGCCTTTGCTGTTTGGACAGGTGAAGGTCTGGCTTGTCACTGGACCCAGTCAGCATCTAGAAATCAACATTTGACGATGCCTCCAACATCAGGGACTAGATAGACGTACGTAAAAAGCCCTTCAACTCCCTTCTCGAAATCTTCGGGGCCCGGGGCATTTTTCCATGGAGGAAAGATAAAGCCATTTAGCTTTGCGCTCTCAAGCAGAATAATCTCCTCACGTGTGGTAAGTTTACGTGTGGATTTGGGGAATCGCGCCGTGAGACCGCTTTTCTCTTGGATCTGGACAACGGCCTGCCAGTCCTTGTTCTGTTTGATCTTTTCTGCCCGTGTGAGCCATTCCTTACATTTCGCATCAAGAGCCTGTCTATCCTTTGATTCGGTTGTCAGACTCAACGCCTTCATGTAATTTTCGGCGGCGTCGATAGCAGACTCAAGGGCCTGGCCTTGAGTAATAGCACTAGATGCATCTCGCTCAGCTTTCTGGCTACTGGTTAGTCAGAAGAACCTCTATGGTGGTGATTGACACCGAACTGGAAGTAGAAAAGAGTAGAATAGTTACCAAGGCCTGGTTGACTAAGAACTTTGTAGATGCAGCGTTCGGTCTAGACATACTGCTGAACCAGCCTCTCTGCAACTACTGCAGATTCGGCTAGCACCTATCAGATGTGAGGCTGTAATACACTACTTGATGATCATGCCGAAGGGGACCTAGTATCTCCGATGATGACATCCGAGGTCCACTACCTTAAGGAATGTGCCAGACCCAAAGCAATAATAGACAGGGGGAACGTGCACTTCCAGATAATCCAAAGATAAGGAAACTTTAGATGAGTTAGTCAGGAAGATGAAACACCAAAGAAAAGGTCGGCAGATGAAGTGTGAATGGTGGCAGGCGAACTGGTGAATGGTGGTACTAGATAGTATGGAGTTGGTAACCGTCGCGTGTCGGTGGGGAGAGACGGCAGTGGGCAGGAAACAGTGGGTGACCCAAAGCGATAACGATCAACAGGCCGGCCATCGGACCGAGGCTCGTTTCGTCATGCGCGCCATCGCTGCGCCGAGGTTCATCTGCCTTGACTTGCTTGTTCGGAGTATCCCTGCCCTCATAGTGCTTCTTGCCGGGCTTCTGGTTTTGTCAGTCACTGACCAGTCCCTGAAACCAGGCACTCGACACCACTTCGCCTGTGATCGCTTCAATCTGTGAACACTGCGGTCGCCAGAGTTCTTTCGCACAGCCCAGAAACTCTCTTCTGTCACCTTCCGATCATTCCACCCTGTGAGCTGCTAGGCTCTCCTGGGAGTCCCCGCTCCGAAATATCGCCAATTATTATTCCGCACCGCCATATTATTCTCAGGTAATAAGTCCGATACTGGCATTTCGGTTAAAGTGTTTCAATAAACGGCTTGGGACGCTGGTCGATATTCTTCTCGCATTTCACGTTACGCCAAATACCTCATCCATTCAATCTACCAACTAATTCATCTCGTCACAATAATGGCCGGCCAGTCGAAGCCCGCACTTTCCCCTTGGGGAAGTGCCGTCGCTGGTGCTACAGGTGCAGTTCTAGCAAACGCTTTGGTCTACCCTCTTGATCTGTATGCAAGTACCTGTTGTCGCTTTAAACACCGAAAAGGAGAATTTACGCTAATAATCATGCGTCAATGCACAGTGTCAAGACGAAACTCCAAGTACAAGTCAAAACAAGCGACTCGAAAGACGAGAATTCCGAAACAGTTCACTATAAATCGACATTAGATGCGATCACCAAGATTGTCGAGAAGGAAGGAATCGAAGGCCTATACTCCGGAATCGCCGGCTCTCTCATCGGTGTGGCGTCCACCAACTTCGCCTACTTCTACTGGTACACCGTTGTGAGAGCCTTCTACATGGCATCCAACAAGGTTCCTAAACCTCCTGGAACTGCCATTGAGCTTTCCCTCGGTGCTGTGGCGGGCGCGGTCGCCCAGATCTTCACTATCCCCGTTGCTGTAATCACCACACGACAACAGACACAAGACAAGAGCGAGAGGAAGGGCTTGATTGAAACTGGAAAGGAGATTGTCGATAGTGAAGATGGTTGGACCGGTCTGTGGAGAGGACTCAAAGCTAGTTTGATCCTGGTGGTCAACCCGGCAATCACATACGGCGCCTATCAGCGCCTCAAAGATATCATCTTCCCTGGGAAGAACAATTTGAAGCCTTGGGAAGCTTTCCGTAAGTAACTCTATCACCATCTATATGTTGTGAGCTAACCCGATTACTTTTGCAGTCCTCGGCGCTCTCTCCAAGGCGCTAGCTACTATTGCGACGCAGCCATTGATTGTGGCCAAGGTCGGCCTGCAGTCCCGCCCACCTCCGGGTCGCGAAGGAAAGCCTTTTAAGACATTCGGCGAGGTCATGCGATATATTGTGCAGAATGAGGGTCTCCTGTCCCTCTTCAAGGGAATTGGTCCCCAGATCATGAAGGGACTCCTGGTACAAGGCTTTTTGATGATGACTAAGGAGAGGTATGTTTAGTCTGGATGAAGAGGCGCAATCACATGCTGACAGCGACCAGGGTTGAACTCATTTTCGTTCTTCTTTTCGCGTACTTGCGGAAGATTAGAGAGCAGAAGCTCAAGAAGCTGGCGGACTCAGCTGCATCGACAGCAAAGACCAGTCTTCCCGCGACCCTCAAATAGACGTTTGATTGATTGATTTATGGCACGGTAACTACCATTCTCTTTTTGTACGAATTTGTTTCTTCTCACTGCGGCGCACTGGTTGTGGGATTTCGTCTGTCTTGTCAGTTTCTGGTATGACCGAAGATACTACTGCAGTTGTCTATAGATAATAACAGCTCAATATCTAGAACATACAATAGCACCAAAAGGATCTACGCATTGCTAATAAAGGTGCTGACAGGTTGCGCTGTACTCTATAACCACATCAGGGGCATCGGCGCACTCTCGTAAGACCAATAATTTAGATTCTCTAAACGTAGATAACTACCATATGCAGCCACCACTCCTCCGCCCCCGGGGCAAAAGGAGCTCACTGACCGCCAAACTTTCACCTCGGCAACAGCTCATCTACGTACGGCCCGAATAAACATCAAACCGGAGACTCTCCTCTCCCTAAGCATAATTCCCCCAATACCAACTACACACCCAATTCCCACCCTCACCTCCAAACCGGCGCCCTCACCGCGCAACCCCCACACCAAAGCCAGGAAGCAGAAGCCCTAGCATGAGCCGTCATGCGATGGCCGCCATGGACTTCCAACGCGCAAGCCACCAACAATGACCACCCCACAGACACCAAAACCGACCCCAAGAACCTCCTCGACTGGAGCGCCTACACCGAACTCCGCACCCTCATCCCAACACTAGTGCTCACAACCGGCATCCTCGGCGCTGTCACCCTGCACCGGACCTACCTCCGCCGATTCCCCACAGCCGTCAACATCACACCCGCATATTACCGTCGGCGGAGTATCCTGGGAAAAGTAACCAGCGTCGGCGATGGCGACAACTTCCGCATCTATCATACACCCGGTGGTAGACTCGCAGGTTGGGGCTGGGTACCCTGGAAGAAGGTTCCCACGACGCGGAAGGAATTAAGGGATCAGACTGTATGCCTTACATCTATACCCCAGGGGAAAGATATGTAACTAACATAGAAATCGGTTTTGAATAGATACACGTCCGTCTAGCCGGCGTCGACGCCCCCGAACAAGCGCATTTCGGACGCCCCGCGCAACCCTTCGGTAAAGAAGCGCACGAGTGGTTAACGAGGTACTTGACAGGCCGGCGTGTGCGGATTTACGTACACCGACAGGACCAGTATCAGCGGGTGGTGGCGACGGTGTTTGTGCGACGGGCGCTGGATTTCCCGATTCCGTTTCGGAGACGCGATGTCGGGTATGAGATGTTGAGGAAGGGGTTGGCGACGGTGTATGAGGCGAAGGTTGGGGCGGAGTTCGGGGGTGAGGTGATGGAGAAGAAGTATCGCAGTGCGGAGTTGTGGGCGAAGGCGAGGGGGTTGGGGCTGTGGAAGGGGTTTAAGAAGGATAGGGATAAGTGGGAGAGTCCGAGGGAGTTTAAGACTAGGACGGGGATGTAGGATGGAGGGGAGAGGAAGAAGTAGGCCCGGTGGAGCTTTTACTTGTTCTTTGTTGATGTTAATGATTGTGTTGTGCTTGTGGTTCGCAATGGGGGCGTTTGTGATTTGTGGTGTGGTTGCATGATGTACAAGTTATGATGATGATACGGCTGATACTGATAGATATCCCTGTCGTTATGTGTCTCTCTGCATTACGCAGCTGATCTTTTGGTTGTATATTTGTGATAATATAGATGAATATCTGGTCATCCATTATCATTGCGGCACTCATTAACATCGTTAGACTGATCATTAGGTTTAACTCGTCCACGAAAAGATGCCAACTGTGTCTGTGTGTAAAGAAGTGGTACAAAAAAGCAGTGTCCCCATCTGCTGCCCTTCTAGGACTGCAGGGATGCGACGCCAACAAGCATAGAGTCAGAATATAACCGATATATAGTACAAGAAGGTATATAGGACCGGGTGTGAGGTTGGGAGACCATCAGGTGGAGAAACTCTAGCAAAACTGCCGCTCAATCTCTGCAAAAAGCTTCGGACTGATCTCGTCGCTAGTGTCGCCCTCGACACGCCATAGACAGCCCTTGCGCTGGTAGTGTTCTAGCAATGCCTTGCTCGTTTCTTCAAACTTGTGCAATCGCTGCTTCCACGTATCGATCGAGTCATCCTCTCTCTGAGTCAGAGGTTCCCCTGTGACATCATCCTTGCCGGGGACTTTAGGCGCATTGAAATCGGTATTGTAGACCCTCCCGGATGGCTCGTGTACCCAGCGCGACGCGATCCGAGAGAGAATGACGGAAGGAGGTGTGACGAGGTGGACGACGAAGTTCACGGGAACGATGGTTTCTAGGCTTGAAGCCTGGGTCGCGGTGCGCGGAAAGCCGTCCAAGATGAAAGATGCAGAGGGCGATATTGATGAACTTGGCGCTGACGAGAGCCAGCCGCGTGATTTGAATTCAGAGGATATGAGGTCGAGGATCATCGAATCGGGGACCAGGTTGCCGGACTGCATCGTGGCTTCTGCTTGAAGGCCTGGGTGCGCAAACCGTTAGACGGATCCTGCCTCCTAAGCATGTTGCAGACTCAAGGTCACTTACCTAGAGGGGTCTTCCTGCGGACATTTTCGCGCAGAAGGTCGCCGGAGCTAATGGAGGCGAGCTCTGGATACCTGGCGAGGAGCCGCTCAGTTTGCGTACCTTTGCCGACACCAGGAGCACCGACGAGAATAATCCGGGCTGCTTTTCTAAGCTGCCGGATTGTAGCGGTCATTTCGCACGCTATTAAGTTATGAGGTTTGTCGATATAGTCTCGGGGTTGGAGGCAATTCGGTGCTCTGGTGCAGCCGTCGTTAAGTATTTGAAGGTAGGGCGAAAGGCGGGTACCTCAACAATTAGTTCGGGGAAAGTGGAGGAATGGCGGGCAGACTATATTATCTCCATTGCGGCTTAGGGAAACAGTTGAGAGGGTGTAGACAGGGATTGCAGGACTGGTAGAGGAAGATAATAGTTTGCGCAGCTTATCGGGCCAGGTCGGTGCTCAGCTGATACGTCGACAAATCTCAAGCCGGGGAAAGCACGCCCTTCCGTGGGGTTTGTAGATGGCTGCCCATTTAGGAAATCGGTGAGCGGAGATCGGAGCGTTTACCGACACATGGGAATGTCGGCTTTTGGCGTTGCAATTGACTGCTTCTTCCACAGTGCTAACTATGAATTCGGACGAAGACAAGTACCATGCAGAGGGTCAGACCATGTTTACTGTCTCACTCACATGCTATGTTGTCGAACTAATTTTGGAAGTAGAGTACGGAGTATAAGGGTGTCTCTACAGGAAGCCTCGGCTTTTATTCTCAATAATCCCGTCCATCAAGCGTAGCAACTATGGTATGTAGGAGAGGACTACTGTATACAGATACGAGATACCTAGTAGTAAGCAGAGGGAAAGAGAATGATGTTGGCTGTCCCAGCCATTTGACTTCATTTTTGAGCCTGTCATGACACTACCGGCGAAGCCCAACAAGTATCCCACATGCGTGTATCATGCTAGCGCTTGCTTCAAGTAGTACATTTAAGACGCAGCTCAGTAGTACACACTTACTTGTGAATCTTACCCCATCAATTAGCCCCGTATCCCTGCTGCACCACTGCGGTGTTGACATGTCCCAATCGAGCTTTACATTAAGTTATGTATCACGTGATTATGGCGCGTCTTGCCCGCGTTTCGCGTCCGTCGCGTGATGGGCCATCCAGTAGTAGGTGTTGCTGAACTGCAGCAGATCAAGCAAAGACCCAAACACCTCAATAGCGTCCAAATCGCTGTTGGAAAGCAAGATGATCCGGCAAGATTTTCGCCGAATTGACCCAAAGAGAAGGGCAACCCTCGACCACAAAAAGAAACAATTCGCGACTCCGGTCTTCAAGCAACAGGACTATCCGCATCGTTTAAACTTCTATGAAATACCCCCGACCGACGAGATCACCCTCGAACAATTTGAGCAATGGGCCATTGATCGATTGAAAGGTTCTTCAACTTACAATCCCGGCATACTATAAATACTCACAATCCTTGACAGTCTTGGCTGAAATCGAAGCCTGTTCTTATCGAAACAAGTCGCCGGCAGAGACCGAAGCGCATATCACACCTCACCTCCAAAAATACCTCCCTCTATCCTCCAACACATCCTCCTCCAACGGTGCGGCGGATCAACGACTGAAAAATGAACGCCAGAAAGATCACTACTCGCACTTTATCTTACGCCTCGCCTTTTCGGCCACAGAGGAACTCCGTCGGCGTTTCGTGAGAGCAGAAACTATGCTTTTCAGATTCCGCTTCCAACGCGACGACACCAGAGAACGACGCGCTTTCATCGAAAGCCTTAATCTTGACTGGGCGCCTGTGGATGATGGGGAGAAACAAAGGCTGGCAGAACAATTGCTCGCCGCCTCCCCGGGTCTACGTCGCATTGACGATGAGACCTGGTACAAGGTGGACTGGGAGAAAGTCCCGGAGTTGGTAGAGAAACGGGCTGTTTTCCTATCCAAAGGGAAAGCGTATGTGCCTGGTAGGGAGCAACTCAGCATGATCATAGCAGAGTTTACGGCTCGATTGGAGCGTGCTCTTGAGGTATGTGAAAACGGTGGACATGGACTGTTATATGGTACTGACGTCTGCTAGCTTACAAGCCGGGCGTTGCCGCGCTTGGACGAAGATGATCGCCTCACCCCGATTCTCAATCACCTCTCGAAGAACTTTGGAAGCGCCGAGTCGGTGTACACGGAAAACGAAGGATTTGTTGATGGCGCCCCGATTACTGCGAACAACATCGATCGACTATCTCAGCATTTTCCACTATGCATGCGCAGTCTTCACATGAACCTACGCAAGAACAACCACTTGAAGCATTACGGACGACTGCAATATACCCTCTTCCTCAAGGGAATTGGATTGTCGCTGGAAGAGTGTATTGTTTTTTGGCGTCAAGGCTTCAAAGGGCTCACCGACGACGAATTCAACTCGCGGTACAAGTACAATATCCGCCACGCTTACGGCGATGTGGGTGGTGATCAGAACCGCAGAGGCCGGGGATACCCTCCGTACTCCTGCCAAAAGATCCTGGGTGATTCAAATCCGGGAGTTGGACAGACCCATGGCTGCCCGTACCGCCACTTCTCTGTCGACAATTTGATCGGTCTTCTTCAGTCTACAGGAGTCAATGACAGGGACGTCCTACGTGGAGTGCGAGAGGATGTCGAGAAAATGCGGTTCCATATCGCTTGCAACAGAGTCTTCGAACATACCCACAAAGCAGATATTAAGAGAGTCAAGGAAGACGGTACATGGAACCAAACTGACCTCGACACCATCGTGCACCCCAATACCTACTTCAAGCGCAGCTATCTCTTGAAGCAAATGGGAAAGGCACCCAAGGATGCCTAACGTCATTGTGATAGGTCCACGAAGCCACGTTCCTTTCTTGCATTTTGGCTCTCGGTTTGCGAATATTCCACCATGCGGGCGTTCCGGGTCAGGCCTTTTTTTTGGAAATGGGAGGATGCGACTGGTCCCATTTTATAGGTAGATAGTTTTATGTAAATTTAAGAGCATGGAATGCACCGAGACAATTAATTCAAAGCGCACATCAATGGCTCTTTTTACGCGTATATCTACTACAGTAACGGTGATTGATAGAAGGGCATGTGACCACAGCTGATTCCCAAATTATCCAAAAGGAACAAAACGTCCTTTCAAAGCCAGGTGCCCAGCAACGGGTCTAATTTACTCTTCGCTCGACACTTTAGACAAAATCACCAACTGAGTGGATGGAAGCTGCCATAGAAAAGGAAAGGAGTCGGCGTTGTGAAGAATATATGGAAAGAAAAAGAAAGAAAAAATGTTGTGGAGGGAAGATGAGCGGGTTTTTAAAGCGCACTAGCGCGATGTACGGGTGCCCGCAGTGACCAGTGATGCTGCAACCTGGCCTTATGGCAACAGGTGCCGCTTCACACAACAGTCTCCTGATCCCCGCATAGTCTCCGGACAACAGCTGCTGGCGTTGCCCATTCTGTGACTGGGTTGTGATATAGGAGGGACCCCCTGCAAACCGGTCTGCGTTGTCTTTATTTGTTATTTCTGGCCCTGTTCCTGCCCGATTAGATCTCCCCTCGTTATCTTCCAGTTACGGAATCCCGTTCCTCCCCAGGCCGCCAACATGGACTACGAAGCGTTGAAGGACCAATGGAGTGATGTCGAGGATCGCGATGGCATCAGACTCAGCTGGAACACGTTTCCGAGTTCTCGCATGGTTTGTCTGCTCTATGGGACCCTCTTGCCCATTTCTGCTAACTTATGCTTCGACAGGAAGCATCCCGCCTTGTTGTCCCCATCGGTGCCGTCTACACACCCCTCAAGGAGAAGCCAGACTCTCCGTTGCTACAATATGAGCCCGTCACTTGCAAGGCGCCTTGTCGGGCGGTGCTGAATCCTTATGCGTATGGCTTCCTCTCAACTGCTAGCAGGCATGGCAATATGAACGACTTGGCTGACATCGCATAGCAACGTTGATGTTCGGGCCCGCATCTGGATATGCCCCTTCTGCCTTATGCGCAACCCCCTGCCCCCTCACTACAAGGATATCACGGAGAGCACGATACCCCCAGAGCTTCACCCCATGAGCACGACAATCGAGTACCAATTGGCACGCCCCGCCCCTGCTCCCCCTATCTTCGTCTATGTTGTCGATACCTGCCAGGACGATGACAGTCTGAAGGCCCTGAAGGACTCTCTGATCATGAGTCTGTCATTGCTGCCTGTGAATGCGTTGGTTGGTCTGATCACATACGGTACAATGGTAGGGATATGCAACCATCTATCTACATTTGGTTCATGTTAGGATGCGTTGTTGACCGTGAACTACAGGCACAAGTACATGAGCTCGGCTACACCGAGTGCGCCAAGTCCTATGTGTTCCGCGGCAGCAAGGAATACGCCGCGAAGCAGGTCCAGGAGATGCTGGGTCTTGCTTCCGGAGTTCGCCCGAACATGCCCCAGCAACCCGCGCGTCCCCCGCTTGGCCCTGCGGCACGGTTCCTCCTTCCCGTTCAGCAGGCCGAGTTCCAGATCACCAACGTGCTCGAACAGCTCCAACGTGACCCGTGGCCTGTTGCCAACGACAAGCGACCTCTCAGATGCACTGGTGTTGCTCTCAGCGTCGCCGTGGGTCTGCTCGAGACCTCCTTCCAGAATGCTGGCGGCCGCATTATGGTCTTCACCAGCGGACCGGCCACTGAGGGTCCCGGTCACGTCGTCGGTCCTGAGCTGAAGGAACCCATCCGTTCACACCACGATATTGACCGCGATAACATCAAATATTACAAGAAGGCTGTTAAGGTGCGTGCTGATCCGACTTGGTTTGAATGCTTTCACAGTATTAATGATGTATCCAGTTCTATGACAACATGGCTAAGCGTGCTGCCAACAACGGACATATTGTTGATGTCTTTGCCGGCTGTCTCGATCAGGTCGGTATGCTGGAGATGAAGAACCTTGCCAACTACACCGGCGGGCATATTCTTCTCACAGACAGCTTCACCTCCTCACAATTCAAGCAGTCCTTCGTTAGGATATTCGACAAGGATGCCAACGATAACCTACTCATGGGCTTCAACGCATCTCTTGAGGTGCTAACTACCAAGGAGCTCAAGGTCACCGGTCTTATCGGTCACGCTGTTTCCCTGAACAAGAAGTCGAGCTCTGTCGGCGAAACGGAATGTGGTATCGGTAACACTTGCGCATGGAAGATGTGTGGAATTGACCCTGCCTCGAGTTACGGCGTCTACTTCGAAATAGCAAACCAGGGTGGACCTGCAGCAGTGCAACCAGGCCCTCAGAGAGGAATGATGCAATTCCTCACATACTACCAGCACTCGTCGGGTCACTACCACCTTCGGGTCACGACGGTCGCGCGGCCCCTCAGCGGTCCTGCCGGTGACCCTACACTGGCGCAGTCTTTCGACCAGGAAGCAGCTGCCGTGTTGATGGCCCGCATCGCTGTCTTCAAGGCTGAAGTTGACGATGGCCCTGATGTGCTCAGATGGGTTGACCGGATGCTCATCAGACTCTGCTCTCGTTTCGCCGACTACCGGAAAGATGACCCGACGTCTTTCCGGTTGGAGAAGAACTTCACCCTCTACCCTCAATTCATGTTCCATCTGCGCCGAAGCCAGTTCTTGCAGGTATTCAACAACTCGCCTGACGAGACTGCTTTCTACCGGCATGTGCTTAACCACGAAGATGTTGGCGACTCTCTTGTTATGATTCAGCCAACTCTGGATTCCTACTCCCTTGAACACGAAGGAAGCCAGCCTGTGCTCTTGGATTCGGCTTCTATCCAGCCCGCTCACATCCTTCTTCTGGACACTTTCTTCCACATCCTGATCTTCCACGGCGAGACTATCGCGGAATGGAGGAAGGCTGGTTACCAGGATCAGGAGGGCTACGAGAACCTGAAGGTGCTCCTTGAGCAACCAAAGGAAGACGCTAGGGTTAGTTCCATGCAATATCGAACTTGTCGAGATACACGCTAACTAGTCTACACAGGAATTGATTTCCGACCGTTTCCCACTGCCCCGTTTCATCGTTTGCGATGCTGGTGGCTCCCAGGCTCGTTTCCTTTTGTCCAAGCTGAACCCATCTACCACCCACACGACAGGAGGATACGGCGGAGGTGTGACGTCGCAGACCATCTTCACTGATGATGTCTCGTTGCAGACTTTCATGGACCATCTCATGAAGTAAGTCCTTTCTTAATCAACACACACATCAAAGCCGTTGCTAACCCTGTTCCCTAGGCTTGCTGTTTCCGGAACCAGCTAGATTTGACGAGGTAATGGCCATGACGAGAGCAAGGGGCGGTTTGCACCAGTCCTCGGGTCGTTTGTATCTTTAGCGGTTATTGATTTTTGTTCGTTACCCTGGAATATAGCAACTACCTAGATTCACCAATTGAATACAAACAAAATATCGTAATATGAGTGGATCAACAAGTGGATCTTTTAGCATCATTTTGACATTTAGTGCTACGTATTTAGTACTTACTATCTAATACAGATAGTAGTTACCGCTTCGGGAAGACAAGCCATTGTCCTGATTGAGGTCACGTGTTTAAATGGGTTGAGCCCTACCAGACTTACCGCTTCTGGGTCTCGCTTAGCGCAGGCGCAACGGCAGCTAAATAACCTTCCGGCCTCAAACAGCTTTTTTTCTTTCCTTCTTCGTACCAACCATCCCGACACCTTCCAAGGACGATTGACGACCTTTCGCACTCGCCATGCGTAAGTATCATCTCCTTGGTGAAATCGAATAGGCGAACTAATATGTCTCCCATTGGGCAGCTCCCAAGTTCGACCCCAATGAGGTGAAGATCATGTAAGTTGCATATTCTGAAGAGTTATCACTCGGCGCATAATTTTGATCAGCTGCTAACAATTCTACTAGCCACCTGAGAGTGACTGGTGGTGAGGTCGGTGCCCAGTCTGCCCTGGCCCCCAAGATTGGTCCTCTCGGTCTGTCCCCCAAGAAGATCGGTGAAGATATCGCCAAGAACACTGGTGACTGGGTAAGCGCGGCGTCCGGATCGAGTATAGGAGGTTACAGTGCTAACGGCATCTTTTTGGGAATTATAGAAGGGTCTCCGTGTCACCGTCCGCCTGACCATCCAGAACCGTCAGGCCGCTGTCTCCGTTGTTCCCTCCGCCTCTTCCCTGGTCATCAAGGCCCTCAAGGAGCCTCCCCGTGACCGCAAGAAGGAGAAGAACATCAAGCACAGCAAGTCCATCCCTCTGGACGAGATCATCGAGATCGCCCGCAAGATGCGCCACCGCTCTCTTGCTAAGGAGCTCAAGGGTACCGTCCTTGAGATCCTCGGTACCGCTTTCTCTGTCGGTTGCCAGGTCGATGGCCGCAGCCCCAAGGACGTCTCCGACGACGTCAAGGCTGGCGAGATCGACAGTATGTCCACCTCCATACCACATTATCCGAGACTTTGGCACTAACTGTTTCGCAGTCCCCTCCGAGTAAATGATTCAAATTCGCGGCGGTCGTGGTTTCTTACCGGCATGCTAGTTACGGAATATGATCATCTTATTCGAAAGAAAAATGTTTTATGAGACATGACTTTAGATTCCCCATTTCTGTTCTTTCGAATTCGATAAGTGTTTTCACTCGACGTCTCCGTTGAGATGCCCCTTTTCTCTTCCTCCCGTCTCACATATGGTTTACTTGCTATCTATGCAAGCTGGATCATAATGAGTCCCACCCCAGATGACCTTTGCAACACTCTGGCCCTTACCGTCTTTTCCCGCCTTCGGGCCTGGAATTGTCATATCACAACGTGGTATAGGCTTATTTTAAGCAAAGAAGAGCAAACCGACCTGCTACTCACCGCGGTATCTTCGAGGGGAGCCTTGTGCTTCTTTCTGTGGATACAGTGGTCCATTTAACGGTCAAAATCACCAATTTAGACCCAGACATTTTCACATGTCTGATGATCGTAGACAATCCATTCAATTCAAACAATGCAATTTACTCTTTTCCAATCCTTCAAGTTTACGTATAGCCACTATGCCTCGGCAATTCCATCAAATCCATCAAGACCGCGTGAATATATCGATTCACAAGTACTACCGACTGAACGATCGGCACCTCCCATGCACATACTAGCCACAACTATTGCCGTCTCGCGCCTGAGGATGGATACTTACGCCCCATCCATAGTCCACTTCATGCATATAATTTTGGTGAAGCATCGACAGTCGCCAAACAGCAACAGCAACTATCTACGTAGGCTGGGAATCGGATGGGGCCGCGCCCGGACACACCGAGAGCCCGAAGATTCCATGAGCTTTCCCCACTCACCGGGGACTTTTAAGTACAGTACCACTAAACTACTGGGATGGTTCAATTGGCGGCGTTCCTGATACGCGCCCGGAGCTGCAGGTGCCGCCTGGGCCCTCCTCTCCCCCCCCTTTAACGAAGACCGATCCCGGGTAACGGTACTCCGTCAGTAGGCAGAAAGAGAAGATGATCAAAGAATGAACAAATGAATGAGTGAGAGAGTGAGTGAATAATGAAAAGAGAGGCATGTCCATGGATGGGGCAAGTAAGTGTCTCATCAGAAGGGGCGATGACTGCGACTCAGAATGCAAGTTGTTGTTTTGATAGGCACAGACAGGCGCACCGACATGCATCAGACTGCATCCATCCCACTTTAGTTGAGTTGATGGAATGGAAAATTTAACTATCTTCTTTCTCGTGACTCACAATCTTGGCTGAGTCAGCCAGGCAGGCAGGCAGTCAAGTTCAGGCTGTGATCATCATCAGAGTCTTTTTTATTTTTTGTAGCCAGCTCAGCATGATGGAATGAAGTAAAAATGCTGTGTTCTTTTGGGAGAAGTGAAACATGGCGGGAGGATTGATGGGGTGGGCGGTGGATGTGTTCGATTCCGCCTCCATACGAATTGGATGGATTTGGCTATGTATAATGCTAACTTAACTAGCAACTAACCGAGATACTTCCTAAGTATCTATACCGAAAGAAATTTCGTTATTTATTAAAACAATGGCCACAAGAAGACGAAGAAAAATGAATTTGACTTTGGCCAGTTCAATTTCTCTTTCCCCCTCCTTTTCTCTCCTCTCCTTCCTCCTAGCTAGTTAGTCTAAACTACTACTACTAAATGTAGTACTCACTGTACAACTATCCTCTACTGGACAGACCAGAAACCCCCTCTTCTAAGCGCCTACGGGAGTGGAGAGGCAGGAAGAGCCACAGCGCAGCAAAGTTTGCCGATCCTCATCGCCAGACCGCTCGTGACATGGCCCATGGATTATCACAGCCTACTCTTCTTTTCATAATATTATTATTTTAATTCGTTTTTGGACTCCCAGGGCGGCCCCGGTCCCGCTGCCCCTCGTTGATCCCCGTCCCTACTTAAAAAAAAGTATCTGCTTTTTACATTGTTTTCTATTACTGTGTCCAGTCTGGACGAACGACGGAGATGACCGTACCGTTGGGATAGCACAGAGAGGAAGGGAAGGGTGAAAACTTGGAAACTCCGGTAACACTTAGATCTGTGGTCAATAACGATGGCTGGAATGGTCTTGTCTGAGTGGATGGGATACAGGAAACGGGGGGCTTGAAACTAAGGTAGGTTTCATGGATCCCTCCTCCATTCCCGAGACCTAGATTTTGAGTTACGCCCGGGGGAAAAATAAATTTGGGGAGAAAGGCGAGAAGGGTGGGATTTCGAAAGTATAATAATAATGCAGCATGTTGTTGTTTGTTGTGTTGATGTTGTTGGTTACAAAATGGGGAAGGGGAGGCCTGATGAATGACATGAATATCTGACATCTTCAAATCATATCCACGATAACTCCTCATGTATGGTGTGTAGGGGAAATATGGATTGGCTAAGAAATACATTTAGGCACGGATCAAAGCGACAGAAAACGCTCAGCAGTTGCTGTCACAAGAGGGAAGGCGGCCTATCAGAATTCCATCGACAATCATCTCCTTTATAACAACACCGCACTCTGTACCACATAGTGCATACTTCTCATACATATTGACATACCTGAGATATCTATCCTATGGCAATGATTCGGCCATCTTTTCCACCTGATCGGACGCGGCATGCGTCTAAGTTGGGATTTTCTTTTCAGCCTCTGAATGCCTCCAGGGCTGCAGAATGATGCTGGCCTTGGGCTTGTGGCCAGGTGTCTCAGCCTCGCGGCGATGTATACGCATACTATACTACTTCTACTTACTAGTACATCGGATGGATACTGCTAATTCAATCTTGCTTCTTTTTCTTGCGAAATTCTCCTATTTAACTAATACTTACTAGTTGACAAGTCTTCTAAGAAAATATCCCTACATATTAATCGGCACTGCTAAGTAGAATGGGTTACGAAATCAATATCGATATAACATACCAACAAAACTCTCCTTTATATACTATATATACTCCGGGATATACAAAGTAGTAATATGATACTAATAAGATATTCACAATATTGATTGATTTTTCATTTAAATCTCAAAATTATGAAATCCACCTTTTCTAATTTCATTCCACCCATCCAAGGCCAGCTCGCAGGCCAATCCTTGACGGACTCCACTCGAACCCACCAAAGGTGCCAGATCGCCCTTCCGCGCTCACCAAACAAACCCTCCCAAACTCCAACTTCCAAGAGGCCCCCAAGGCCCCAAGGCTTGACCACTGCGGGCGCCACTTGCGACCGGGGGGGGGCCATGGCTGCTGGTCCACTGACGTTAGACAGGCCTGGATTCGTTGCCTGCGCCCAAGTGGCTAGCGCCGGTCCATCCTGGCCGTTGGATCGTAGTATCCTCGGGTGGGACTAAAATGTGATGGATGTTCGTGTTTCCCTTGTTTCGCGATTTTCAGGTGGGGGTTGAGGGAAAGGGAAGAAAAGATTCTTTAGTTATGATTATTATTTAGGTTGAGGATTTGGGAGGATTTGCTTGCTCTCCCTTGGATCGGTCGCATATCTGCGTTTTGAGGCAACACAACCCTTTCAAGCCACCGCGTGTTATACCTTTGTGCCACTTACCAAATTTTCCGCATTAATTTGGTACTGTACCTACAGAGGGGTCATCAATAAGTAAGATAGTAAGTACTACGTAGTAGTATCCGCTCAGAGTAAACCAATTTGCACACTTATATGCATGTACCTTTCTATTTTATTTTTTCTTCTCTTCGTTATTTCTACATAAGATATATTTCTTTCCTTTTCCAATGTGAATTTCATATTTTTTTTTTCTGCTTTTCATTTCCCTTCCCCCCTTCCTCTCTTCTCATTTGGTCCCAAGCCACCACCAAGTAATCAACCTGGACGCCCAAACCCACCCGCGTCCCAACTCGGTAACCTCCTCCCCACTCCACCCTGGTCCAGGCCAGCGCCTATTGGCTCCACTCCCGCTGGTCCATCCTCAGAACCCACTCAGGCTGCCCTCCCCCCACCCCAAAAAAGGAACCACCCTAGAACAAAACGGGAGCTATAGGCTGCCGCCGCCCACTGCTTGCGTTTAGGAAGCTCCGCTCTGTCATGATGCGCGTCCCGCTTGATGGAGACTCTGGCTCGTCGATGACTCTTTGTCTGCTACATTAGTGAGTTAGTTCGTAGTAGCTCAGTGCCCGTATGGATATCTTCTGTGAAAGTAAGTAAGTAGTTGGCCTTTTTGATTTTTTATTTATGAATTTTTCCCTTCAAGGCTTTCAATTCCATCTTCTTCCACCTCAATCGGAATTCCTTATCGAATTTTTTTATCCTTTTCTTTTATTTTCCCTCCCGTTGGTCGCATACCTCTGTTTCTCTCTTTCTTTCTTCACGGTCTTGGCCAGTCCTACCCCGGACTCAACTATTTTTTTCTTCTCAATCTCTTTGGGATGTCATCAGCGTTTCCTTGCGCCTGTTTCTCATATTATTCCCCTGTTGATTGTTGACCTCTCCGCCCGCCGTTGAATCTTCTCCGCTTTGAACAGCCAGCCCTGCGGTGCCTTGGATCTGAGGCATCACAGTTTGGAGTACTTCGGTCCAATCAGCTCTTCCCCATCCTGTGAGGGAAAAAAGAGATCGTCAAAAGACGAGAATAATAAGACACGAAAAGAAAAAAAGAAAAGAGAAAAAGAAAAACAAAAAATCATTAATTATTTTTTTTCTCTTTCCCATATCAAAAGACAAGAGGACTGAGAAACATCCCGACACACTAAAGTTGTTGTGATTGCCATCAGCTAGTGGTGCCATGTTCAACCTCTCCCCTACACTATCGTTTCCCTGATTCGGATTTCGTCGGTCGTGACATCGGGGCAGATCTGGGTCCCCGGGCTCTTTAATCCTCCCTCTCTATTCATCTTGCCAATTCTTCCTATTCTTTCCCTACCACACTTGCTTTAGCCATCATCCTATCCTTCACCAAACATCCGTTTGTTCGGTCAGCCTACCTGCCGGTCACTCTCTTTTTCCCATTTTCCCTTTTCCCCTCTTTCGCACTCCACTCACACCACCCCCCAAAGTACAGCATTTCTGCCAAGCGCAGGATTGCCTAGTGGTTGATCGCGTCGTGCGGACACCTGCGTCAGTGTGGGCGCTCTAGCAAGCTGACTAGGGCTGTGATTCTCTCTCATCGATCCCTTTCCCTCCCTTGCATCGTTTCTTCACCCACCTGTCTCTCACGCAGCAAATAGCGTTGTCGGAGCGGATCGCCTGCGTGTCTCTTTGATCTTCTGGAATCCAGCGGCTTCGTGAATGGTATCTTCGCCCCGGACTCAGCCTCCATTCGATTTCCTTTCCTCCTCTTCCTCCTCCTTCATCACTTTCGCCGCTCCCGCACTTGCGTCTTCTGTCATTGCCGGCCACAATCAGCGTTCATGTCGAGCCCAGGGTCAAGCGGTGGGCGCCTTCGCTGAGTGTCAACTGAGCCGGCTCATGCCCAGGATGAGGTGTAGGAAACGTTTCAAGGAGGATGCTTGTTGATAATACATCGAGAGTGATAACCCCTTCGACCATCACTGTCTGATTTCGATCGCCCCGAACCGCCTCGACGAGATCCCTGCATTGCTTTTCCCTTTACTCGACAATCCGAGTCCCTATACGTCTCCGTCGCGGTCTCCCCCTCTCTCCCTCTCTCTCACACTCTCTCTTTCTTTCTTTCTTTCTCCTCTCTGTCTCCGACTTCGACCTTAATCTTGCATATATTTATATAATTACGGCGGAAGAAGACGGTGCTCACACTGATTGAGGTCAAGATGTTGCCCTCAGTAGCACCGTTCCCGCCAGTCCAGCCGCACCACCTTAATTATCGGCACGGTGCCGACGCTACAAATGGACCTTACGACCGCAATACATCATTTCTCACGTCTCTCCCCCGCAGCGATTTCGGCAAAGGCTCGTTCCAGTCCGTAGCTCGATCTCGGCTGCAATATCCCCACCCTATACAACGCCTCGAGGTACCCGATGCCACGGGTCTGGTACCTAGTCCGAAGAGTGCTGGCGAGCATGCATTACGAAGGAAAACACCGAACGGGACACTGGCGGCTGGGTATGATGGCACACCAGGGGATACTACCCTTCAGCCCGCGAACAAGCACCTCTTGGTCTCGCCGATCGATTCGGGCCACCTGGTACCGCCTCATACAGGATTCCCAATGGAGACTTGGCAACAGGCCAATCTGGATCAGTCTTCGGCCGGAAAGCACCTGAATTTCCCGCCGGTATATCGAAATGATTCGAGCCGAACTAATGCAGGCCCAGCAGAGTTGACACAAGGAGTGAATGGCACCAGTTGGGTTCGTTCATTGAACTATTTTCCAGGAATGGACTCCATGCTGAATCAATCACTTCCAATGCAGCCTTCGCAGCAGCGATTTTATTGGCACAATGGCGCCTATGTTCCCACGGTTCTACCAGCGACACTTCAGCCCTGTGTCGGTCCCACCGCATCGGCCGGAACAGGACCATACGGTCCATATTGGCCTGATGGTGTGTATATTCCGTATCGCCCAGCGGCGTTTCGAGATGCCCGGTTCGACTCGCCCACTCCTTTTGCAAAGGTGACGAACCCACCCGCCCTTCAATTATTCGACGCAGGCCAACAGGCCTTCAGCCGGGGCGCTATATCCTCGGGAAGTCATCCCGACCCGGGCCTGGCGTGGAATCAGGCCCCTGCTGGAATGGTCAACTCTGAGTTGTCTATGAAAAACAACTTTCCTCGGCGTCATTCGGAGCACAAAGTTGCTGGTCTTTCAAGCGGCCAGCGGACATTGCCGTATCATACGCGCCAACCTAATCCTACCCCTGGCTTCTCGCATCAACCGGCTCACGAGACAGGTCCGTCTTGGTCGGGCCCTCCAAGTACTCAAGGGCCCCAACTGGGCTCTACCGCAAGCCCACAGGCAACAAATGTGGAGTTTAAGGAGAAGGTGCTGACATGGGCTCATGGTGTTTACGTTGACCTACTGGCATCGATTCACCAAGCACGACGGAATAGTATCTCGAATGCGGCTGCTGAGGGACAAAGTCAGCGATTCTTGAAACCAAGTATATACCCGAAACCACCGCGTCAGCCTGGTCTGGATTTTTCCAGCACCAATGCTCTTGAATCGAGTCGTCACAATAACTACTCTACGGGCCAGTATGACCATGTTCAGAGGAACAACACCATTGGCAACTTAGGCCAGAACGATACTGCCAGCTTTCAAACTGGCCGTCGGTATGAACGTGCTTCACTGTCTCAGTTCTCGCAAGCTGCAACCGATGTACAGATGCTCGACCGGCTCCGCCACACTGGACGGTTTACTGCATCAACGGCAACGGCTCGTTTCGGTGCCGCACCGTTGAACGAGGGTTCTATCACAGCGAATGCTGTATCCTCTTTGGAGATGTTATCCCATCTCTGTGCGGAAAGTGGTTGGGAGTGGATTGATGGCATGCTTCTTGGAGGCTGTCTCGCTTATGGGCTTGGGGATTATCATAAGGCCATGCGTTGGTATACTAGAATCATCGCTCGAGATGCAACGTGAGTATGCGATTGTCTGTAAGTAGCTGAGTTGTCTAACCAAGCACAGGCATGTGGAGGCGATATCCAACCTTGCGGCCACGCTCCTGGCGCTGGATCGCCGAGAAGAGGCGCTGCAACATTGGCTTCGTGCCGTCAAGCTCCGCCCGAGTTTCTTTGAAGCGGTAGAACACCTGATCGGTCTTTTGTGCAGCAGCCAACGCGGCAAGGAAGCAGTCAACATCATTGAGTTCGTACAGAATTCCATACGCTCCCCTAAGAACGGCGATTGTTTCGCGTCCGACGAACACGCGAGTGAACCCGAGAGCGATGCGGAGAGCAGAGCGTCGAGTGCGTCCGATCTGGGTTCCTACGAGAAAGCGTCCTTTGATTACGATGACGACATTGGTAGGTCGGTTGCCGCAAATCGGGGCTCGGCAGATGTTGGGTCAGCTGGATTTGGTTCCAGCGGCTACGCCATACCTGGCTGTGATAATGGCAGAATGCTGGCTCTTGTCCACGCCAAGGGAAACATGCTATATGCTCTGGGCGACAATGCTGCAGCTGCCGTGGCCTTTGAAGATGCGATTCTGATTGCAGCTGGAAGAAGGCGCCATGGGATCCAAAGCCTGATTAAACAGATATTCTCCGCCTTCACGCAGGGTACGCATCACGGTTACCCCGGCCCAGAGCAGCGTGGGCAGCAGGAGACCATTCTCCTGTATCCAGACCATGCTCTGCAGACCGCAAAGCTGGTCTTTGCTCCCTGCGGAACACCCCCGGGGATCGAATATGTGCCAGAAGGTCTGGCACGAAAGGCCGCCATCTCCACTACCAGCAATTCGCTGCTCTCTCTAGCTAAGATATACCAAGACGGCATGTCTAATATTTCCAGCTCCGGTGTTCCCAGAGCTGCTCCAGGCGTTCGCGATATTCTGGCACTTTACTATCTTTCTCTTTCTCTTCAGCCAAGTCCGTCCACCGCGAATAATGTGGGTATCTTGCTGGCTGGCATCCAAAACAATGCGCCCAAGAAAGTTCTCCCCCGTCCAAGCGGGGAGATGCAGCATCCCGAGATACCTGGTGTGGTTCCCGGTACGGGAATATCGTTGGCTCTTGCATATTACAACTACGGTCTACACCTTGATTCGCGACATGCCCATCTTTACACGAACCTCGGAAGCCTTCTCAAGGATATTGGCCAGTTGCAAGCGGCTATCCGAATGTACGAACAGGCTGTTCATTGCGATAGTAACTTTGACATTGCGCTGGCGAACCTGGCGAACGCAGTCAAAGATGCCGGCCGCGTCAACGATGCTATCGTCTATTACAAGCGTGCCGTCAAGGTGAATCCTGAATTCGCCGAGGCAGTGTGTGGCCTAGCCAACGCCCTGAATTCTGTGTGCAATTGGGTTGGCCGCGGTGGCATTGGCAACGGCTATGGATTCCGAGACCGGTGGCATGTCGATGAACAGGGTATGATCCGCGACGCATACACCATTGAAACCGGTACTGGCTGGATCAAACGAGTTGTTGAAATCGTTGACCGTCAACTCAAAGAAGGGGAAGCTTGGGGTCGTGGTTTGCTTACTTCCAACGTGATCGAGCAGTTGTGCGCGCAACTGGCTCCCGCGGCCGGTTCGCGCGGCCATGTCGCTTTTGGCACTCTGGCTAAGATTCTGCAGTCGTGGTCAGGTCAGCGGTGGGAGGGCTCTAGGATCGTCAGGATCGTGGAGCGTGCCATCAGGGCGATTACCTGGCAGTGGTATCAGGATCGGTACGTTTATGGCAAGGAATACCCTCTGACCAAATATCGGCGTCCACAGCTTCCCTCTGGCCTGACGGCGCCAAATGCACCGACAGTCCTGCCTTTCCATACCTTCACCTGCCCGCTGTCGGCGAAGCAAATTCGGCAAATCTCGCAGCGGAATGGGCTTCGTATCTCTTGTTCCACCTTGCGTTCGCCGTGGCTGCCTGCTACTGTTTTCCCTCCGCCTCCCCCTCCGCACCCTTACATCAAGGTAGG